AATTCAATCGATTACACCGATCTCTCAGAAATTATAATTAAATTTTCTTTTCGAGATACGAATCGAAATTCTTATCCTAAAACAAACTACCTCTCTTAGCAAAACCCTAAACCCCTAATCATAACCTAATCTTAAAATTGAAGCACAATTCAAACCCCTAAAAAAAGCCCATCTTCAAATTGAAGCAACTCTGTGAATCAATTAGCTACAATTAAAAAAATATTAAATCTACAAATTAAAAAAAAAGGGGGGGGGGGGGGGAATATATCAAATTAAATTGGTGAATTTAAAAAAAAAAAAAAAAGTAGGACCTGTTGAAAGCTCTTGACTGTCTTGCCGATACTACGGCCGACCTCCGGCAGCTGTTTGGGGCCGAAAAGTATCACCGCCACGCCGGCAATTACGACGAGCTCCGGCACGCCGAGGCCGAAGAGGCAGTTGCAGGAGAACCCATTTCTGTTGGATCTTCTGGGTCGGTCCAAATCGAGCCCGAGTTTGACCCGGTTGCTGATGTTGTAGCTGAAGAAGACTGAGCTGGAGGAAGAGAGAGAAGTGAATTTTAGTGATGGGTTTGTGGCGAGCGATGCTGTGATTGTGGGAGATGAAATGGCTGCCATTGGTGAGATAGAGCTTCCTTTTGGATTTTTTTAGCTCGTGTTTTGTGTGTGTGTTTACTTTCGGATGAGAGAGAGAGAGAGAGAGAGAGAGAATTCATATACAAATCAATAAATGTATTTATGAATATTTTGTACATATCCATGTGCATCATTTTTTTTAATTTATAATATTAAATGTTATTTCAATTTCACTAATAGTATTTTAATTTTTAATTTTTTGCCATTTTTCAGTCTAATTTTGGCAAAATTCAATATACAGGATGCAGTTGTTTGAGTTAACTTTCTGATCTAATTTGAATGAGCTAGATTGGATGTCGGGTGACAGAGTTAAAAATGAATGCGTTATATTTTTTAAAATTTTAGATAACATTAAAGTTGGGGGCAGTGTTTATTGATTAATGCATAATTTTCTCACTCGATATCTAATCCTGATAATTTAAATTGGATTAGAAAACTAACTCAAATAACTGCAAAATACATGTTTTTTTTTTTTGAGTAATTCAAGTCATTTCATTACAAGGGGAAGTAGAGGAGGGGGACTCGAACCCTAGACCTTTTACCCTATTGGTAAAGCTAGATACCAACTCTCCTAATGAGGGTTGGTCAAAATACATGTTTTAAGTTTTGTCAAATTCCGACTAAAAAACTATCAAAATCTCGTTTTAAGTCAAAACGGTATCATTAAAACTAAAATTACATTTATCACATCCCGACGTTATAATTATTTCAAATTCCACTTCTATTTCTTTCTCGATTGTTTCACATTTTTTTTTGAAAATCCCACGGCCGAATAACTACTTATAAACCAAGTGCACTCGAATCGCCTGAGTTACATCTAAGTCCCAGAAGTTGTCCATGTTATTTCATTAAAAATCCTCCTATGATTAAGTTTTCCTTAAGCACACGACCCCTAAACAAGATGCTAGTTGCTAAAAAGATATTATAGAGAGAATTTACAAAAAAGGATCTCAGGAGGCAGTATTTTAGCAATTCGATACAATACAAGGTACTAATAGTAATTACAATAAGAGTAAATTAGCGGTGTTAAATTACGAAAAAATCCCTGCGTATTTGGGGAATGACATCCGCCCCGTCCTTTTGAATATGTTTACATAAAACTTATGCAACTCCATTATATATCGAATCAAATCGTATATTCAGTTCGATAAACAGTATAAATGTTGGTGTACCGAACGGTTCAATTTTACAGATTTAACATTCTTTAATTACCTCTAGAATCTAGATGAGTATTTTCGTAAAATAATAGGGACCACTGTAATTATCCAAACATAGTTTTAGTTTTTTTTTTCTTTCCGTAATTTGATCGGGGGTCGTTGTAATTTCTCTTACTAGGGGTGCAAGTTGGAACGGATTTTCCAATTTCTGCCGGTTCCGATCCGAAAAGTTTCGATTTTGGAACAACTTTTTTCATTCCGACTTTCGAAATTCCGATCTCCGAAATTTTTCGATGTTTTTTAATTGGAATTGGAATTATATAAAATAAATTTGGAATTTTCGATTTCCGATCCGATTTAATTCCGAAATTAATTCTGAAAATTTCGATTTTTTCTGAAAAATACACCTATAAATAGTATATGTTATATAATACTTATTTTTCGAAAAATACACTTATAAGTTTTGTTTTAAGATTTTGACATAACGAATTGTTGTTAGAAGTTTTATTGGATATTATGCTGTGTTTATTTTTATTTATTTTTTTGAACTGAAATTTAGTAGCTATTAGTTTTAATTTTATCGACGTGGATGCTCATATTTTCGAAAAATTATGAACATTTTAGAAAATTTCGGCAAAGTTTTGAAATTTTAAAGCTTATGTGATTTCTGTTTTTTTTCCAAAATTCCGAAATTTCAGGGCCTTTTGAAATTGGAATGAATTTTTAAATTCCGAAAATTTTAGATTGAAATTGAAATTGATTTTGTACTTCCAAATTTTTTTTGAAATTTTCCGAAAAGGCTAACTCCGATCCGATCCATTCGACTTTCACCGCTAAACCTTACGCTAAACTCATAAACCAATCGTTGGGATAAAAGAATTGACCGTTGCCAGAGTTATAACTACTTAGTACTCAGACAAAAGAAAAACCCTTCTCAACAGGCGGCAAAATAGCGCCGTCAACTAGAAAGGCAACTGCGCGGCGGCTGAACTCCGGCGAGTAACCTCGTCTCGCCATCTATTTTATTCTCATTGCAATTGTATGATTTCGTATTTGATTTTTGTACCTCTTCGATTTTTTTTTTAATTCCATGATTTATGAACCCTAATTTTTGAAGGAAAAATTGAATCTTTTTCTTCTACAGGACTGCTGCTATTACTATTTGTCTAATATTCTCGTACAAAAATTCCGAGCCATGGATTTGGAAATTAATTACGAAATTGCACGGGTAGCGGAATTCATCCTCAGCCATAGCTTCACCAGAGTAGCACTACAGGTATCAAAACGGCGTCGTACGTATGTGTGTGTGTGTGTGTGTGTGTGTGTGTGTGTGTGTGTGTGTGTGTGTGTGTGTGTGTGTGTGTGAGATAAATTATAATTGGGGGATTTTTATTTAAATTATATTTTAACAGTTCCCAGATGAGCTACTGAAAGATTCTATGAGGGTGGTGAAAGCTCTGCGCAAAGAGATAAATTCTTCTGCTGTGAAGCTGTATGTAATGGCTGACACAACTTATGGAAGCTGCTGTGTCGATGAAGTCGGGGCGGCTCACGTAAATGCCGAGTGTGTCGTTCATTACGGCCATACTTGCCTCAGCCCGTGAGTATAATAAATTTTATCGGCCGAATCGATGAGTTTATGTTTGTCGAATTAAATGGAGTTAGCTTGTGAAATCCAATTCAATTTCGTTCTTTGCATATACTCTGCTTAATGAAAGACGTTGAAATTGTGACGTCTTCTGTTGATTAAGTTATGTAATTTTATGTGGTTTTTTTTCAGGACATCGAAGCTACCTGCACTGTTCATATTCGAAAAGGCTTCAATTAGCACATCGAATTGTGCATTGAAATTGCTCGATTACGGGATGACAAGCGACAAGCCAATTTTGGTATGATAACGATACTTATCCTTTATGTTTCCTCCATGCATCTATTTTTATGATGAGTTTTAGTAGATACATCTGCAATAATATTTAAGACAATTTTTTTTCGGGAACTTAATAATATTTTATTAGTACCCTTATTAAGAAAGATTTTATTTTTCACAGTTAGTAGAGCAAACATTTTTGTATAAGTAATTCCGGATGTTCCGTTTATGTATTAATAATTTTCTCCTGGAGAAAATCAGTTTTTTTTTTTTTTGTTCCGTTGTTTATGTGGATGACACACGTGCTATTATTTTGTTCGTAAGATTATGATGCATCTCTTTTTACTCTGTACTTAAGAGAAGTTAACCTGACCCATAATTTAGCTTTTACTAAATTCTCGTTAATGATTAATTTCTTATTGTTCTGCTCAAGTGACGAGAGCTCCACAACAACGGCTATCGAGTTATTAACATGTTTCTCTTCTGCATGAAAAAACAGGTTCTTTTTGGACTGGAATATGCACATGCAATACCAGAAATAAAGAAAAATTTAGCATATAGCGTTTCAACCATAGTGGGGTCCGCATCCATGTCGAGCCTCCTTTTTGCCGATGTAATCTGTTCATTTATAAGCCCATCCGAAACATGTCAACCAGCAAGTCAAGTGGGACCCGTCGATAGCCAAAATTACAGCATTGGAGGTTTGACTTGGAGATTACCCGAGGGGCGGAAAATGGAGGATTATTCGCTTTTCTGGATTGGATCGGACAATCCAGCGTTTTCGAATGTTGTACTGACGTTTAACAGCTGTGAAATAGGTAAGAGTCTACATACTCATCTTTTTCGAGTTGATAAAGCAATCTACTTCTCGACTCTCGTGCACTATACGGTGATCGTTTCTTGCAATTTGATGTTTTGCTCATGGGTTTTAGTCAGATATGATGCAGCAGAAGATTGTTTGATGACCGACGTATCTCAGCAGAAGAAAATCCTTAGGCGTAGGTACGAAAGTCGAAAGCTTTTTTTTTCACCATGAATTCTTTGTTCTTTCGTTGCTTGTTATTTTACTTCGATCTCTTCGATTTGATGAAATTTGCAGATACTATCTAGTTGAGAAAGCGAAGGATGCAAACATGATCGGAATCTTGGTTGGAACACTTGGTGCAGGTATGCCTTTGTGTAATATTCATTCGCATATGCGTAAATCACGAAATAATATATATATATATATATATATATATATATATATATATTTATTTATTTATTTATTTGTTTATAATTTATATGATGGGGTTTGGTTAAGACCCGTTACACGCATTTCTGCATTACTAAAGCTTTTCATTTGCTAACTGTTATTTCAGCTGGTTATCTTCACATGATTCATCAGATGAGGGACCTGATAACAAAAGCTGGGAAAAAGTCGTATACTTTTGTTATGGGAAGACCAAATCCTGCAAAGCTTGCCAATTTTCCCGAGGTAAACAGAACCTCGTTAAATGCGTGGATATTATAATTTATTGCTATATTGCTCATGTTTACTATACCTTGTGGTGATAATGCTGATTTCTGATGATGTGTGTGATTTTGCAGTGCGATGTTTTTATTAATGTCTCGTGCCCGCAAACAGCTCTATTTGATAGTAAGGAGTTTTTAGCTCCTATAATTACTCCATTTGAAGCTATGCTTGCTTTAGAGAGGTATGGCTTCCACTGCAATTACTATTTGTTGAACGTTTCAAAATTATTAACTAAATTATTTGTTTAATAGTTGATTTTAAATCTTTTTCGAGGACGCCTTCTTGATTTGGGAATTTTCATTACGATGCATGAAATAGATTTTTCTTTTTTATTTCTTATATTCCGAAGAGAGGCTTATTTCAGATACCCCTCGAGTAGGAAGTGATAGAAGTTTTCAAAGAGTTCTAGGAGTGTGAATAATTCGTATTTAATATACGGTGTTATTTACATTGGATTTTTCTTAGAATGAATGGGAATAAATTAGCATCTTTTGGTGTATTAGATATTTTATTGTTTTATATGTATTCCGTAATATGGATAACATGTTAAGGATGGTTCACTTTGTTTCAGAAACAATCCCTATAGACATTAGATCGATGGCAACATGTCGTGAATCACTACAATAAGCAACTAATGATGGGTTAATTAATTATGGTTTCGTTAATCACTACAAAATCAGGGTTTCCCAAGTTGCGGAATAACAATATTTTTTTTGTCTCGATCTCCAGGGGAAGTCAATGGACAGGAGCATATGTAATGGAATTTCGAGATTTAATTGCTTCAACGCCTTCCATACCAAGTGAGCAATCTGAAGAAGCAAGGTTTTCTTTCATCCAAGGTGGTTACGTTGAAGATTTGGATATGCAAGGTAATTCTTTCTTTGACTTAATTGCTTCATAAGTTATATTTGTCGACTTATTTGGTAAATTACTAGTATGTTTAGATTATAAAGTTCTAGTGTAGGGTAATTGTTTCGTTGGATTATTGGATTAATTGCTTCATAATTACATCATAAAGATCCAGTGATGAAAGTTTGATTAATTGCTTCAAAGATCTAGTGATAGAAGTTTTCTAATGAGTTAAATGAGTTTAAGATAACTTTGTTTAAAAGAGATTAATTTGATTGTCGACTATTTATGTGTCGACCAAAATATATTTCGATATTACTCCCTACGTCGGTATTAATATATTCTCGGTATATATAAATATATTTTATTTTGGAGATATTGTTTAACAATGCAACTTTTAGCTGTTCATTAGAAAAATGTCATTTAAACTTGGAATTTTGACATTTTAGTTTAGCTGATAATTTCAATTCAATTTCAAAGCTGTCAATGTTAGCTGATAGTTTCAAAACTAACGACAAAGATGCTGCCAATGATCAATGTGTGTGATGATCAAAATAGTGTACATATCCTTTTGTTGTATTTTGTAGTTCCAATTGACAAGATATAAAACTTTTAAAACAATTAAGTGTTTAAAGGACTGTTGCCGAGTCTTCTATGACACTTTACTATTTGTCTCACAACCACGTATGTAGGATTTTACCAAAGCAACCCGTCATCCAATAGATGGAGGTCAACATTGCTTTCTTACTCCAAAACTTCGATGGATTGCATAAATGAGCAAGTCCCTGTTTATACTAAGACCACTTTCTAAGACTATCCATCTAATGGATGGTTAACAATTATTTGAATATAGATTTGATCCTGTACATTGATTATTTAGAGAATTCTTATCTAGATAATTACAAAAAACATATGCTAGGACTATTTTTGAACGTTACACGGAATTCTTACACTACTCTTAAGGACTTCCTACACTATTTTAAGAGTATTGTAGAATATGTACAAAGTGTAGGAGGGTTTCTGGGAGTCAGGTGTGAGCTTGAACTTGAGCTTTTAGTAGCATTTTTGGAATAGTCCTTTGCTTGGTTTGGCCATTTTTTGGAGGCCTTAACATATAACTCGAGTTCATCAAATTCGACCGAGCTCACCAAAATTGCTAGACTCGACTCGAGCTCAACCTCGTTTCTCCCCTAGACCTAACCGCGTAAATACGAGTTTATATTTAATTATCTTCCATGAAAAATTCCTTATAAGTAGAGTTTCTTTCTTAGACCTAACTGCCTTACTGAAACTATTGTATTACATTATTTACCCATGATAAGTCCTTAGTAGTGGAGTTGTTCTTTTTTTTTTTTTTTTTTTTTTTTTTTTTTTTTTGCTTTAAGCAATTCTGATGTGTTTGAAGATTATACGTTGATGCTCGATGTGCTGTGATAGAGATGGTTTTATTGCTTGAATTATTAGTTTGTTTGTTAACAATAGCTACTAGTGAAATATATGTATCAACATTTATAATGTTTCTGAAGCAGATACGGAGGAGGTAGAGAAGGATGAAATACTTGCACTAGTGAATACTACAGAGAAGGCTCTTCAAGTGCGTGATGACAACACTCAACACCTCACAAAAAGTGACGCAAAATCCGGAGCTGAATTTTTTGCGAGCCGATCATATCATGGTCTCGATATTAACAGCACCGATTCAGCTCCGGGGAATTTTTTGACTGGTAGAAGTGGGAAAGCATCAGGGTACACACACGAGAAAACCGAGAAGTCACATCTCTAACTTATTATATAATCGCATATTTATGAAGTGAAAAGTTTAGAGCATAGGTAGCTCACTTTGTTTAAGATCTATATTTCCTAATAAGCAGAATACATGCAGTTGTTAAGAAAATATAAGAGGCCATTTTTGTATCTGCACTCTATTATTTAAATTAAAAAAAAACATTAAGTCTTGTTTGTTATGTCTTTCTCTCACTTTTTATCATAAGTTGTAATTCTCTTTGTAGTTGCATAAATTGAAATAAACCATTCTTGAGGTGTTTCATGGCAAATTATTTCCCACTTTTTTGTTCAACTTCTAGAAATTTACAGTTAAAATCAACTTATGTCACAATCATTAATTTTCATTTTAAAATATGTTTTCGCAAACACCACCCACAGGGTGTTTTGCTAAGCTGTTAAAAAGAGCTTATAAGATGTTTAAGGGCTTATAAGCTTTCCCAAAGTGTTTGGAATTTTTTTCAAATATATGATGTAGTAGAGCAAATAAGATTTTTTTAAAAAAATACCTATTCAAACTTTTTACTTAAAGATCTTATAATCAGTAAAAACAGATTATAAGATCATTATCCAAACATTTTAAAAATTAATTCTAGAACTAAAACGCAACAATTTATCGACTCTTAAAACAACTTATCTAATATTCAATGCATTACAATACAATACAATTTTAGACGTTACCATTGTTCTTCATCAATTTGTTCTATGCTACACCCGATAAAATAAAAATATATTACATACATAATCAAATCCTACTAAACAATCAAAAGAGCTTTTGTGTGAAGTGTTGCTATCCTCAATGTGGATAAAGAGATTTTTTTTCTTCTTATTTATTTAAAAAAAAAAAGAAAAAAAAAAAGAGAAGATAAATATGAGAATGTAACAAGTGAGAGATGAGTGAGCAGACAAATTATCGGCAGTGTGAGCTGTGTTGGGCCAACATTCAAACCTGAAATTAATACATATTAATGGAGATGTCTTTGTCCATCTGTGCTTTCTGATTTTGACTTTTTCTTTAGGGTCTATTAGATATAACCCCCTTAAACATTCAAATAATAGGGGTAGACCCAAATTTAAATTTGCCATTTTGATAAAAGCCCTAGCTTTTCGTAATTACATAATTACCCTCAATCAAATTCCACAAATCCCGTTACTTTACCTTTTAAAAATTAATAGACTATCTCATATCTTTTAATAGACTATCCCATGTATCTAATTCGACTATGGGTTTAATTAATTGACTATTGGAAAAATAATAATATATATGGAAACTGAATAATATGTTTGTTTGAAATACTAATCAATTAGGGTAATTTTCCTTATTATATGAAAACGATTAGGGTAAATAATAATATATATGAAAAAATAATAATATATATGGAAACTGAATAATATGTTTGTTATACTAATCAATTAAGGTAATTTTCCTTATATCATGTAATAGACTATCTTATTGATCTAATTCGACTATGGATCTCGTTAATAGAGTATGGATCCCGTATTATTCAACCACATAGTATATTAATAATTTCAATATAGTACATTAATCTGCTGTGATAGTATATTACGGTTATAGTATTGATATGAAATTGTGTTACAAACAATATACCACTGAAATGACAAGAACATTGAGAACAACACCAACGTAAAGTATTCCACATAACCAATAAAATAGTACATTAATAATCTCATAATTTCAATCTAGGGTTTTGATAAAATACATAAAACACATCATAACACAATCAAACCAATATGTCGAGTTAAAAAACTCTAGTACATTAATAATCTCATAATAGTATAATAAAATGATAATGGTAGTATCATACGGTATTCATAATAGTATACTACTGTATTACAACGGTTTAACACTTAACCGAAGTTACCGAGCCATTACATCGTAAACACCTCTTTATAGCAACCAACCCACCAAACCTCAACAAAATCCGTACGAAATTCGCCATCGAAAAAACCTAAAATCATGAAACAAAATTAAAAATGCAGAATACTAAAAAATAATTAAATAGACTGCAAATATATTTCATCAAAAATAAACTTAAAATGCAAAATTCATACGCTAAATTAAAAAAGACTATGAACTATATTTTAATGTACTACCCAGCACACTTAAATCGGCTGTTATAAACAAATAAACCAACTATCGATCGGGATAAAAACATGAACTCGACCAAAGCGGACAATTATTCCGATTATTGCATAAACCAACTACGAAGCTCATATAAAACAACGCTGGTTCGATCTGCGTGAACCATCCTCTTCTAACTCTGTCAATCCTCTTCCAAACAAACATCATCGGCCAAAAAAAACGATATATATATGATGGAATAATTTTGTTAAAAAACGTTCTACTTAATAGAATCAAGTATCAACACAACTCTTAAAAATTTCTAACCACCGTACAAGACAATCATGGACATTGAGCAAAAAATAAAAACGAATAACGCATTCATACCCGCTTAACAACGTCCAACAACAAACGCTCAAAAATCGATCCTATTTCCACGACGGTGCAGAAATCTTCAATGACGATAAAACCCGCTGGAACGATGAAGAGAATCTTCAAAAAATATTGTACACGATTTGATATAACGGCCAATGATCTCACGTAAATTTATTCCGTGATTTTAGGCAACGTATCAGCAAATCTCAAATCACGTATTAAAGGAAATAAATGCTGTTTAATAATAAAACATGGGTATTAAAGAGAAATTATATAATATATTTTGCCAAATTGGCAAAATTGGGTGTATCTCAAAAAGGGGAAAAAAAATTGGATCTACCTCATTAGAAAATATGAACAAGGGGGTTTTCCCTAATAAACCCTTTTCTTTTGTGTACAATTAATATGGTCATGTACATTGCATTGCATTTCTTCTTTATTGTTCTATTGGATTTTTTTTTAGTTTTTTTCAGTTTTTTTAATAGTAATATTCAAGTTTTTATTTGAATTATTTTGCCAACGGTCGGTAGATCGAGTTTGTTACACATGCTTAGCCTAGTGTGGATTACGTATCTCGTATAGTTTGCAAACTATTATACGAGAATGTAGGTTAACTCAGTATACCTATACAGTTAGTTTTTCATTTATTACAAAAAGAAAAAAAGAGGGTTACGCAATTAACTCATTAAAATTGAGAATTGAACTTCTTTTTAAAAAAAAAATGAACAACATAATTATAAATGTAGATCTGTACATAATTACACACACGCACCCTTATGTATGTGTTTAATAAGAGATTATTTTACCCAACTACACTAACAATCATCCGATATAAATAATTATATATAACATTTAACTCCCTAGCAACAATTATATTCAATTTATTTTACTCGGTTAATGATGAAAATAACATGATCGCTTTATTTCTGGACATGCATGCTACATCTAATATTAATTTTGACAAAGTAAAATAATAAAACTAATATATACTGAATATCCAAAAAAAAAAAAAAAAAAACAAATTAAATTGACTTGTTGATAATAAAAGCAAAATAATGCTAGTTTTAGTAAAGTTGATAAAATAATAAATAAGGTGTTTGAGAAAAGAGGGCAGATCTAGAAGGGCACATGTGGCCCAGAAATTGGGCCTTCTCCACATGCCCTAAATTCTCTCTGCCTCACTAAAGCATGACACATGCTTATCCTCTCTCTCTCTTTGACTTTTTCTTCGCTTTATTTAATAATTCAATAAAATAAATAAATTAAATTTAGGAATAGTATTTTCTTTGCATATATTGTGCATTATTTATTGGAAAACATTTGCTTATACTTGGTTTATTAAAGCATAAATAAATTAAACAACGGTTAGTCCAGTCCACCTAAATTCCTAATTAATGCGAAATAAGTCCTAAAAAACTTTTTTCCTTCTTTTTTCCTCCTATTTTCTGCTTTTGTCAAAAACAAAAACCTAAATTTTCTTTCGGAGGCACCGCTTCAGAACCCTTAAGTCCACCGTTAACAAATTCCTAAATTCACCACTGTTATTACCTACACTAGGTGAACTTCACTACGCATGTGACTATGTAGATCTAAGGTAATAAATTACATGGTGTATACTATGATATTATTCTCCTAATTTTGTAGGAAAACTAAAAGAGATATTCTTCGTGTTAATAAAAAATTAGGAGTCTACAATTATAGAGTTATATTTAGATTAAAAGTTCAAATTAGATTGTAATCAGACATATAATTTTTATTATAAATATTTACTTATATGATAGAATAATACACAAATATTTATAATCAAAAAACTTTTCCAAGTATTCTAACACTTTGTGTTAAGAAATCACCCATTAGATACATTATTATGGAATCTTTTGATGTTGGTAGGAGGGATGGCATCTTTAATTTCAATTTCAATTTCAATACCAAGAATTATGGATATTTATAAGCATATATAATAAAAGGCACAAAAGGCTACAAAAACGAAATTTTTTGTTCTCTCTTTTTTTTTTTTAACATAGAAAATTATCCGTTTTTGAAACTGCATAAAAGATAGAATAACATACAAAGTTATCCCGAAAAATTAGCCTTTATGTAGAATTAAATGAGTTATCAAACCTCTAAACTACCATTTGACTCCTAAAATAATAAATAAAAAAAAATTATCTAAAGGTGTTATCAAAATCAATTAGTACTTTGATATTTCATTTCTTTGTATCTAAAAATACTTAGTGCAGAATGAGTTACCAAATAATTAACAACTTAATCAACCATTCACAAATTGACATGTGGCAATTACAAAAAAAATCACCAAAAAACTTCCGATTGATGATAAAAAAATTGATAACCATGGTTGGAGTTGGTAAATTTTAAATTTATTTTAAAATATTATCTCAAATATCGAATGGCAGTTGGTAATTCAATTTTGATGCGTAGCATTAGAGTTGCTCGTATTTATTTTTATTTTACAAATTGCACTTGCTAATTAGAATATACTTATAACAATGCCAAATAGAAATTGGTAAATAACAAATAAGTTTAGTCTCAAGTATAATTTTTATTACTTAACTAAAAACTAATTAATTAATTATATGGAATTTATAGCAAAAGCTAATGAAAGACTAATGTAAAAATGAAAGAATTTGCCTCTCGTATAGTGGATATATTTTCTTTGTGAAATGATTTGTTACATTTAAAATTAAAATACTTCTCCCATTTTCCCCTCGACAAGGAATTAATTTCAGAATACGATACACTTTATTTAAATAAAATTTTGAGAGACAAAGTAATGATGATAGAGCTAAAAAAAATGGGAAAATAAAAAATAAAAAAATGGTTAGGTATTCATCATTTTGCATAAATCATGGATCGAGTACATGATTTGGCGGGAACTAGTTGTTAATTAATTGGATTGCAATTCATTTAATATTTGGATTCGAAAACTCAATATGTTGTGAAATCACTCTATTATATTCTCAAGCTAATGGATATATATGTACATGCACATATAAAGTTGATATTATTACTGTAATTTAAATATCACTAATAAATTTTATTAGAATAGTTTTATTATATATATTTTTTATTATAACCGTCATATACTAAATTAATTGTTTTTTCACTACTGAAATGTTAATATTGCATCACACCGGAATAAATACTAATATTATAAATATTGGGATCCCTATGATGATTAACATTTGGCGTTTAGTTTTACGCTAGGTATTACAAGTATTACAAGTAGAAAGTAGTAAACACTTGTAAGTTTTTTATAAGTAATTTACATTAAATAAAAATAATGAGAACAATGGCATTAACTTATGAGGTGTTTGGTTAAACTTTTAAGTTGTTATAAAAGATCTGATAAGATATTTAAGAGTTTATAACTATTTTAAAGTGTTTGGTAACTTGTTTAGAAAATATCTTAAAAATTAAAATAATAAGCTGTTGGAGAGCAATTTTTTTTTTTAAATACATCAACCCCACGTTTTTAAATAAGATCTTATAATGAGGAAAAATAACTTATAAACTCATAATCCAAACACTTTAAAAATTAATTTTTAAAATAAGACGGAACAACTTATCAGCTCTTTACAATTTTTTGTCCAAATGGGCCCTTAATTCAGTGTGAGTACCCAACTTAATTATAAATATAACTCCATATACCAAATACAAATTTATTGTATTTTATTTACAAAAAAAGAAAGAAAATAGAAAAGAAAAAATACGCGAATCTTGTGAATGTTATGCATTTGATTATGTCATCAATTACGTCATTCACCCGACCAAAAAAATTGGAATAGTGAGGAGAATCGGCCAATCCACTACGTACACGTGGCCACATCCAAACCTTCCAAAAACATTTTTCTTAAAGAAATTATTGTCATATTTACCAAATTCCCACTTCATATACTTCAATTCTTTTCCTTGTTACAAACTTACACAACCAAAACCAAAACCAAACCTTGAGTTCATCTACTTGAAAACAAGAAAATAACAATAATATTTTCTTTTTTTCAATTATAATCTATTTAATACAAATAAGTTTCAAATACTGAGATTCGAGTAATCATGAATCGAGAGGGTGGGGAAAGTCGATCGGAGTATGACCAAACGGAGCTGCGGTTGGGATTGCCGGGTGGCGGAGGAAACGTGAAGAATTGCAATTCGAAGAGAGTTTTTTCCGAAAGTATTGATTTAAAGCTCGAACTAAATACATTATCTTCGTCGGGGAATAATAACAATAATATTGATGAGAATATTCATCAAAAAAATTTGAAAGCTGAGGAAAACAATGCTAAGCCACCTTCCAAGTAAGTTTATCTAACTATTGTAGTTTTTATCATTTAATTAATAAATTCTCATTTGTTTTGTTTTGTGTTTTTAATATTATTTATGTGTCTTGATTGAGCAATTAATTTTTAAACACCATATTTAATTTGTTGGTAATTTATACAATAAATCATCAAGTAACTCCGAGTAAAGTGGATTTCATACACAGTTAGATACAACCCACGCTTAGATACATCAGGTGACTATTAACATTTGTCGTGTACATAATCGCACACATTTATATGTCTGTGTACTTAGTAGGTGATAATATAACCAAATCAATGGTCAAAAATCACCGAGTCTAGTGTAGCATCTCAACGACCGATTTGAAATACGTGGTAGAATAAATTCGTCCAAATTAATTTTAATTATTATTAGTTATGAATGTTGCAATTTTTTTTTTTATGCGTTCGAATCTTATGAGAATTTTTGTTGCTAGAGTTTTAACAATTAATTTCATGATCCAAATTTAGATGGTTAGAATAAAATTATTATAAATATAGTTAAATATTTTTATCAATTATGATTTATTGTTATATATATAATTACAAAATCATATTTTTTTTATTTTGTGCAAAAAGAAATAATATTAATTTGTTTTGCCTCAAATTCACAAGCTGTCCAAAGTGCAAGTGGGGCTTGTGATTAGGTATGATAGATAATATAAGGCCATGTTTGGTTGTCTGCCACAATCAATAAAGAACAAAAAAAACATATGGAATCTTAACTTTATTTTCTTTTCTTCCATAATTACAGTGAAAGCGATTTAGCACCTTTGATATAAACATTTACCCAATTTTATTTAATTATGATTATATTTCACAAACAATAATTACTATATTTTTAGGTCACTAAATATGTTTTCTTTATTTTATTTGGACAAAAAGAAAAAGTTAGAAGATGATTACAAATAATACTCGATAAATTAATAAATTTGCTTGATTAATAATTTCTTTCGGCCCTGATTCAGTTAAAAATTTATTAAATCATTAATTCGATAATTTAATATTTCGCTAAATTAATAAATTTAAGCAATTTCAGGACACAAGTTGTGGGTTGGCCGCCAGTTAGATCATTCAGAAAGAACATCCTGGCCGTCCAAAAGAACAGCAGCAGCGGCGCCACCACAGAAGCCGACAAGTCGAGCGGCGGTGCTGCGGCGGCGTTCGTCAAAGTCAGCCTAGACGGGGCGCCGTACCTCCGCAAAGTAGACTTGAAAATGTACACCAGCTACCAACAACTTTCCGATGCCCTAGGCAAAATGTTCAGCTCCTTCACAATAGGTAATTAATTAATTAATTACCACTTCAAATTAAATTAAACATATAAAAATACCTTCATAATGTTAAGCTGCTTAACAAAATAATATTTACATATTTAAAAATACAGTAGAACCTCGATAAATTAATAAATTTGCTTAAATAATATTTTTCTTCGTGAACATTTGATTAATAATTCGATAATTTAATATTTCGCTAAATGAATAGAATTTTACTAGTTACGACAATATTAATTTATAGAGGTTTAACTGTATAGTTTTTATTTGGAGAAATAGTTTTATACATGTATCTGAAAGATTGATTTATCATGTTACCCTAACAAATTTAAAATAATTTTAGGTACTCATATAATTATTGATTTGCTTTTCAATATTTACTACAAGAAATAATTGTTTTAGTGACAAAACCTATTATCCTATCTAATAGAATAATTATTTTTGTTTTTACTGTAGATATGTCACTAAGGGAATATATTGAAAAAATAATATTTTAATAATTAGCATTTGATAATAATAATTTAATATTTTTATGTAGTGATTTAATTTCAAATTTAAATAAATAATTTCTAAATTTTCAGGCAATTGTGGAAGTGAAGGGATAAAGGATTTGATGAATGAGAGCAAATTGATAGACTTGTTGAATGGATCTGATTATGTACCAACTTATGAAGATAAAGATGGTGATTGGATGCTTGTTGGTGATGTTCCATGGGAGTAAGTTTTTAATTAATTTTTTATATTAACGAGAAATAATTTTAATTTGAAAAAAAATGATTAATTATCGTATTTGAAGGCTAATAGTTTATATATTTTGATCAAAATCAGGATGTTCGTCGATTCATGCAAACGTATACGGATAATGAAGGGCTCCGAGGCTATTGGACTAGGTATTAATAATATTTTTTTTATTAATCCATTGATTTCGAGTTTTCATCTTTTCGATTTGAGTTTTCGATTAACTAGGTGTATTTTTTATATATTATAATTTTCACCAATGATCATTAATTAATTTTTTTTCCCAATCTTTTAAATGAAATGCAGCACCAAGAGCAGTTGAAAAGTGCAAGAACAGAGGCTGAAAAGATTTTTAGTACAAACTGCCTAAGTTTCACTAAGTTAAATTTGAGTATTTGTATGTAATGTTTATCTATGTAAGTTGATGATTGTATAAATAGTGGGTAATTTAATTTCGAGCAAATATATTTGCTTATAATAAGGTTGTCATTTTGAACCATGACAGCCTTGTCACTATAGTCAATAATGTCTTATCTTTCTTTTTGATATTTCCCTTTCAAATATCATTTTCCTTTGTAAACATGCAATTACTTGCATTTATTTTCTACAATATCGTATATCACTATCATCAAAAATAAGTAATCTAATGAAGTTTTGTCTTGAATCGATCGTAAGACTTTTGGAGCATTTTTTAAGTGGTGTTGGGACACCCGAAAATGAGGCTCAATTGGCCGATGCGTAAAAGAATAATTTGAAAAAGGAAAAGCAAGAAGATCGGAAAGTGTTTTTTTTCAAATATACCAAGTAATCGAAGTTTCAGTGAATGAAAGACTAACTAAAGCAAGCAATTCCAAGGTCGCCGCATGGGATATTCACCAAACAATTTATGCTCAAGTTAAGGTTTGTTTGCAATCATTGCGGGTTGAATTTCAAATATAAACCCTTGTCGAACAATTTTTAAAGAAGAAGAGGGCGATGACGACGAACGTATAAATGTACAAGGCCTTACGTACAGTGAATGTCACTATCATAAATCGGGATACAAAATCAATGGTTGTTGGAAACAATATTCAGAAAAAAGAAAAGAAGTTAGTTGGTCACATGCATGAAATAAAGTTGAAATTTTAGAGACTTTATTAATTGCATCTGATGGTAATTTTGAAAATTTTTGGTACTTGAATAATAGTGGTGCAAACAGGCACATGACCAGCAACAAAGATTTATTCTCAAATCTTGACGAAACTAACCATGGGAAGGTTATGCTTGGACATGAAAAGAAACATACAAGATTGAAGGTGTTGGAGGAAAGCTGAAAAAATGTCCGAGGTATACTGTATACCTAACTTGAAAAGTAATTTGCTAAGTATTGGTGACTTGATGAGGAAATATTTTAATATGCATTTCAATGACTAAACTTGCATCTTGAAAAATAATAATCAACTCGTTGCAGCTATCTGTTTGTGCTTGAATAATATTTTTCCGCTCAAACTTAATATTTTGGATGCCTCTTGGCTCTTGCTATGTAGCAGACGTTTTCTTAGTTGTGCCATGACAGATTCGGGCATCTTAATTTCCAAAGTTTAAAGGAGTTATCGAACAAAATAATTGTTGAAATTAAAGCCATAGGTGAAATTTGTGAAAAATTCTAGTTAGGATAGCAACACCGGGAGCCATTTTCTTCCAAATCAAAATGGAAATAAAAATAAATCACCATTGGAGCTCCTTCACATTGACCGTTGTTGACCTTTTCGAGTTGTTTCTCTTGACGGTAAGGTTGAGAGGAGTTCTCGAAAACATGAGTTTTAAACAAAGTGGGCCCACAACAGTACTCTTTCTCTGATATAATATCTCATCTATTTTTTTCTTGAAATATCCAATCCTCCATGGAAGAACACAACACATTCGACTATTATGTTTCCAATCCTTCAACTTGTTCATGAAGGTGCAAATCAATCTTGAGTATAGCAAAAGTAATGAAAAACTAGATGATATTTTCACGAAGCCACTCAGAGGTCCCATTTTTTCGAAGAATGTGAAGGTTTGGAAGTCAAGAGCAAATTCAGTTTACAAGAGGCAATGTTGGAATAAACTGGAATTTGCATTGTTTATTCTTCAAACAGTCTTTTGGATTTTCTATATTTGACTAGAAGTTTGAAGAGTTGTTTCGTCGTCAAAGCGCGAGTCATCTTGTATTTTGCGTAAGATACTCCGATCCCAACTATAAAATAAGAGTGCTGGAGATGATTCGTAAGCATCTAATTCCAAATTTAATTTTATTCAAGTCTTCACAAACGCACCAAAGTTCGAGACTATCGATCAGTTCATATAAAAAACATGGTGCCTAGTACAATCTGCATCAAACCCTAACCTTAGCTAAGATTAATTTTCATGACACGTGTACGAAAATGACCCAAATTTAGCACAAACTTGTTCTAATACCTGCAGACAAATTTAAAATTACAGGGTTTTCTTTGTTGAACATGAAATACCTTGAAAAACACAAGGGAATAAAAAAATGAACGTAGTTTTTTATGACAGGGGAAAACACGCAGTTGCGATTTTCACAGGGGTAGTAAATACAATAAACTCTAAAGCAAATCTTCATTTTTTTCATGCCTTTCTTATGGATACATAATTTCCTACAAATTAAAAAGCTGCCCCTCCTTTTACCATATTCATTTCCAATTACAATACAACACATAAACTTTCATTTTCATTTTCTTTTTTCAGCAGCGAGCCTAACTCGATCTCTCTTTCTCTCTCTCATGTCTCGATCGCTCTCTCTGATCTCTCTCTCTCTCTCCATCTCTCTCTTATTTCTCTCTCTCACTCTGTACAAATGAAACGATATGACGAAATAAAATTTATGAAGAATCCTTCTTGCGTTCGATCAAGAGAACTGCCGTACGGTACAAGCGACGGCTTGCGCCCAATGCCTCAACTTTGTCTTCACGTGTTGTGGATCTTCACCTGCACATTCATTTTCATGCAAAAAATATTCTTAATTCAATTCTTAATATTGCTTTTATGCACATTAATTTATTATGTAACGACCTATATATATATATATATATATATATAGATTCAACTTCATATAATTACATGCATGCATGCTATAATTTTATGTAGGTACGTACCTGGACTGCAAATCTTCCATGCATCCGAATCGCTACATGAGGATGAGCGGCCGCCGATCCCCGTTGACATGGAGGAGGTAGCGGTGGAGCCGCCAAGCGACGGGGCGGTGGAGCCGCTGCTGGCGGGGCTAGAAATAGGGCTGGTGGCGAACTGCCTGTTCACGGCAAAGTAAAGGTCGAGCGCCGGGATGGTGGTGCACAGCCGCTGCCCGTCTTCCGCATTGAACCCGAAACCAAGCTCTATGCAACCCTTCAACTCGTTGAGGTCCTCGTCGGTCAGATCGTCGGCCTCGTGGTTGATCCCGTTCTTCCGCCGCTCCTGCCGGAGGAACTGGAGGCGCCGCCTCTCCCATGCCATGTCGCGGGGAACCTCGCACATGGACAGCTGTTTCGAGAGCTTTCTAGGGTTAGGGTTCCGCCAGAACGGCGGCGCGTGCTCTAGACGCTGCAAGTCCTCGTTCTCGTCGGATAGAGAAGGCGACGACGGCGACGGTGATAGATACGGCGACGAGTCGTTGCTACTCGTTTGATTAATATTTTCTAGCTCCCCCATATCTCAATATATATGTATAATTAAAAAAAAAAAATTGTTTCTTTTTTGTTCTAACGTGCGAATTTGTGTGTGTGTAGTATGTGTTTTGGTTTGACTAAATAAAAAGGTATTGAGCTGCTTATGCAACCACGGCGGAGGAAGGTGGATAACCGCCTCGGACCGCCGTGGAGGGGTGGTGGCGCCTTGGGGAAAAGAGGGTTTTCTTTATTTACTTGTGCAAAAGATTGGATTTATTTTATTTTTTTCTAATTTTCGATCTTTTGTGAATAGGGAAACGCACCACCAAGTAAAGCAAAATATGGGTTTGGAGAGGTTAAATTAAATGGAAAAAGATAGGAGGGGAAGCCCTTTTATTTCGGGCCTTTTTATATCATCTTCCACCCTTCGTTTCTAACTGTCTTCTCCTCTTTTTTTTTTTCTTTTTTCTTTTTTCTTTTTTAATTATTATTATTATTAGGGTAAATTACGGTTACCCCTAAAAAAGTAAGGTTAAATTACGAAAAATGCACTCGTGTTTGGGTAATTAGTTATTATAACCATCTATTCAACTATCTTCTTACACGTCTGCCCTTATGGTCTCAAATTCGACATAATCTTCTAAATTTTGTGGAATGTTCTCTAGTTTGTACTTCTTTTGTGAAAAATGTTGTTTCTGATGCAATACAGTTTGATATTTACGAGCCAAGAGACACATCTTATGATCATCTTGTTTCAAAAAATGGAGCTCGAATGGGGTAAAACGGGTACAAATTGCAGAATATTACATATAATCTAGAAGGTTCCACTAAATTTAATACCGCGACAGTGGATGTATAAGAAAATTCATAGTTGACGAGGTGGTTGTAATTACCCAAACATAAGGGTTTTTTTTGTAATTTGACATATCTCAGAGGTTTCCGTAATTTACTCATTTTTTAATTATTATTATTATTAAAATTCATTTTCACCTAGCGTGTGTGCATTTTCGTTAGCCACTAATGTTTAATAACAGGGAGGACCAACGACGTATTAATATGGTTATTTTGAGAGGTCAAATTTGTTTTTAATGAACATTGGGGACCAAAAGTGAATTTAGTGGCAAATCTAAAGGACGGAAATTGTAATTTTTCCAATTTATACCTAATACCGATTCGATTGAAAAATATTCAGAAAAAAACATAGATTCTAAAATTGGAATAAAATTGTCTTTCGTAATCAGAAAATTTTGGATCGAAATCTGGGGAATTTATAAATTTCATTCCGATTTCCACCCCTAGATGCAATTCTCCCAAATTGCTTCTCCCAAATTGCAACAAGTAAAATTTATAGTAACAAAGGTCAATTATACTAACATAACCCGTGAAATATGTAAAATTAAAGTTAATGTTCTTTATCTTGTTTCTCTTATTTCTCATGTGAAACACATGCAAAACAAATCATCCATTCCAAGCAGTCGATATCCTCATGCGAATCAAGGCCGTTTACTTTTGGTTTCGTCCGTTTCAATTTCGTTTCGAAATGCCACGAAAGTGGGATAAATCGGATTGATGTAGCAACAATTACATCATTTAAAAACACGAAAACCATCAAAACATTGTGTTGCTACCTTGCTAATAACTAAAAAAATCTCTGTTTTTTTCTGAAACGAAATAGCGTGATTGAATTCGAGTAATATGCATACTCAACAATTTTCCAGGTAACCATGCATAGGACAAGAAAAACGAAGATCAATGCATGAAAGAGCAAAAGAAAATGCATGAATTCTCGATCTTAAAGTCTGCATACATTCATTTAATTATCAATCTGAGTACCAAAATCGAAATTAACGAATAGATCAACGGTGGTTATTAGGCAATTGCAAAACAACTTCATTTTCAACAAGAACCGCGTGCATCTATCTTACACTCAAACCAAACAATAATGAATTGTCGATTTAGATTCATGAAACTCAATTTAGTTGCCAAAAATCCAATCGAAACTCAAACCAAAGACATGAAAACAAAGTGACTAAATCCATATATATGTGTGTATAGTATAAAAACGAATTCTCATTTTTCTCATTGATCTTGATAAGTTTGAAGCAAATCAAGAAACATAATACAATACAGGCAAATTGGCTAATCCAAATCAATATAACGAATATTAATTATCGAAGATCTTCACCTTGCCGATATTTTTTCGAAGAAAACGAAAAAATGAGAGTAAAGCTTAATAGAAAAACTCACAAGCCCACTTCACCAGCAAGGTTAGATCTTCTCCCCCATGGCTGCAAAATTGAATCTTTAATTCCGATTAAATCTTTCGTCTGCATCTTCTTCTTCGTCTTCTTGTTTTCATTTTTACCGATCTTATTATTATTATTCACTTTCTTCCGAATCCTTTCAATTTTTCTCTGGGGCAATTCGTCGAGCACAAAGGAATCAAACTCCAGACCCCGCAGCCTCCTCCTCCTTCTGATCGTCACGCGCCGCTGGATGTAAGGCACGCCGACGGCCGATCCGGCGGTGACTTGGTGGATCGCTTTCACCAGCAGATTGAGGCCGTGGCAGCGGTGGGATGAGGTCGACAATAGAGAAAATTGGCAGAAATTTGACGAATCTTCGGAGGAAACTAAAGAATGAGCGGCGGTGATCGATGAAGAATACGATGAGGAAGAGGAGGAGGAGGAGGACGACGGCGGCGGCGGCGGCGGCGGCGGTGGTGGTGCAGAAACAGAGCAATCTGAAGTGGGTTTTCTCCCACGGATCCTCATCTAATGGGCACGAAAAGAAACGAAAAAAAAAAGACGATGAAAATTGGATTGATTTGCTGCAGAATTGTGGAGAAGATCATCAATGGAGAAAATTTTCTTTTTGCTGAATCATGGGTTTGTGTAGTTGTAGTTGTATGTGTGAATGTGTATGTATATATGCGCGTGAAGTGGTGGGGGTGGGGTGGGGTGGGGTGGAGTGGAGCAGCGTAAGTTTGAACAGTGGGTTTGAATACACAATTCAAAATAAATAAATAAAATTGGTAAATTACAATCCACCCCTAAAGTAAAAGTCTATTAACGAAAACCCCTCTCATTTTCCCATAATTATATACAACCCCCCAATTTATAGATTTCTTACATCTCACACCCTTTTGTAGGGGTGGATGTAAGCAATTTACAAACTGTAGGAAGTTAGTTGGATGTAATTTATCAAAAACAAGGGCTTTTTTCGTATTTATACTTTATCTTGGGGTGGGAGATGGTTGTAATTTACCCAAAAGAAAATGTAAGCACTGTTCGAAATCGCTATTCTATCTCAACAAAAGAAAACAAATCGCTACTCGAGCTTCCACCTTTTGAGGTTTGTGACTTCCTTGCATAACCGAGTTGACTCGAATGTATAGTTGTTTTAAGCTTTTTTGAATTTTTATCGAACTTTAAAGGTTATGTTTGAGCTTGGTTTGATAAACAATGAGTTGAGCTTAAATGAGTTTAAATCAAGCCGGACACAAATCGAAATCAAGTAGTATGAATTTTTTGTTTATAATTTATCTTTTCTGTTTATCGTTGAGTTCGAGCTCGAGCTGAGCTTCCTAGCTTATTGAACGAAAATATGTGTTCAAATTTGATTCGTTATATTAACAAACTGAGTTCAAACTAGTTTTTAACGAACGATCTTGAATCGAATATCAAATAGCTTTCCATTTTGCTCTCTTTTCTTTCAGGAAATTTTTTTTGGTAAAAAAAAAAAAAAGAGATTTAAGATTCCAATTGCAAATATCAGAACCAAGGTTGTAAAAAGCGGTAATCGGGTCCGAGTCGGTCAGGCACCGACTCACGATTAATCGGTGCGGCGGTGATTAATCGGTGATAAATCGGAAATAAATCGGTTTTTAAAATTTAATATAATATATTTCTAAATATTATTTATAAATACTCCAAACATATATAAAAAGATATTTAAACATAGTTATATCTCCATCATTATATATCCTAATAACATAATAAAAGTTTAATAATTATAAGATCATAATACATAAATATCATTATAAAATATAAATAAAAAAACAATTTTTTTGAATTTAAATTTATTCTTGAACATTCAAGCATACATCATTAGTTCTTTAACAATAACAATTAACATAAACAAAATAAGGCATAAACTCATATTTTCTTTTATTAAAATCCAACTTTTATTTTGAATTATAAAAAGAAAAAAAAAACTGATTTTTAACCGATTTTTACAACCGAGTTTGCCCGCCTTAAAGGTTTGACCGCCTCAGACCGCATCGGACCGCCTAAAACCGCCTCACAGGCAAAAAGCCGATTTTTCAAACCTTTACACTAAAATCGTAAAGGTTTTGGACCGCCTCCGCCTCGGAGACCGATTAATCGGCCGCCTCGGCCGATTTTTAGAACACTGATCAGAACACACTATATAGAGAGGTGTTGATATTTGGTGATGATTTCTCTGTGTCTTGCTATTTAGAATCAGCAGCTCAGCATTTTTCTCTGGGCATCAAAGAACATCAATTGACGGTTCAGATTTCCGATCACACGAGACTCCGAATACAATTTAAATTTCATTTAACTACGTAAAACAAAGTAATCGACAATATACGTTTCATTTGAAATTTTCGAAGTGATAAAGCCACATGTTACAAACTTACACCACTAATATTGTCAAAGATTTGAGCTTTTGCACTTAGGGCCGTCGCAAAAACTATAATACCTGAAAACGAAGTTACAGAAACAAGATACTTGCTCGGTTCTCCGAGTATTAAGCCAAAAGGGTTTCGGTTATGAAGCAATTTTTACCTTCTTTGAAACTACGATTCTTCCCTACACAATCAAAAGCAAATCCATTGCCCTCTTTCTGTGGTTCCTTCGACGTTTTTTCATCGCTCTAACGAACGCAAATCAAATGCTTTAGTTTATAAATAGATTCCAACATAATGTTCTACAACTGGTTCACTAAAACCGAGCTCATGAAATCACAACATATTGAAAAAAAAAAGCGAAACAACAATTCAAGTGTTGAAAGTGCAATTTATTAACATAGAACTGCAATCTATAACCAAATCAAGAAGGTTCAACGAGGAAGGAAATGCAGCAGCTTTAGTAACGAGAGCGATTTTCTCCGAGCATCAAGAAAATTGCTACATGCTACAAATTTCCAATCACACGAGATCTTCAAGAAACGTTCTAAACCGAACGCACTTCACTCGGAAAATTCAAATTGACAAAGCGGATATTAAACCACCAATATTCTCAAAGATTTGAACTTGCAATTGTGGGCCCAAAAAAACACTAAAACTTGCAAAACGGAACGAATTTCCCAACCATGAACTCGTAACTTTCGATTTCATTCAATCTAACCACAATGGAAAGATATCAAAAAACAAAGATCCAAGACCAAATCCCAGAATATAAGTTAGTACATTTTCTCGTAGATCTTGATAAGTTGAAAGCAAATCAAGAACAGAATCCAATACAGAGAGACAAAAGAAAACCTTATAAATAATTTCAATAAAATATTACTCGTCGGCATTAAGCTAATGCTAGTGGCTATAACAACAAAATCATCTAAGATCCAAAAATTTCAATCCCCAATATGAAATTTAAAAATTGAAAATCAAAACTCACAGGCCCATTTCATCGCCATGGCCAGATCTTCTCATCCATGGCTGCCAAACAGGATCTTGAATTCTCGACGGCACTCCCACTAAATTCTTCCCCTTCTTCGTGTTCTTGTTATTATTAGTGAATTTATTACTCACTTTCGGCGGGGCCCTTTGCTCTGGGGAATTTCGTCGAACACAAAGGGATCGAATTCCAGGCCCCGAGTTCTCCTTCTCCGTCTGATCGTCACGCGCCGCTGAATATAAGGCACGCCGACGACCGACCCGGCGGTCACTTGGTGGATCGCTTTCACCAGCAGATCCAGGCCGTGGCAGCGGTGGGTCGCCGCCGCCGTCGCCAATATAGAAAATGGGGAAGAGTGAGAAGAAGAGTCCTGAGAGGAGGCTAGAGAATGAGCCGCCGTGATTGATGAAGAATTGGATGACGACGACGACGAAGATGGCGACGGTTGTGATATGGTGGTAACGGAGTTATCGGCGGAGATTCTCCGGCCGCGAATCCTCATGGGTAGGAGAGAAAAAATGAAGAAATGGTGTTGATCTGATGTAGAATTTGTTGAGCTGTATCAATGGAGAAAATTCCACTTTCTGAAGAGTCTATCTCTATTCTCTATATATAATATATATAAAAAAAAAAAAAAAAATAGTCAAATTATTGGTGAGATTTGCCTTAATTGATATATATTTAATTTTTAATTAAATTATATACTATAAATGTATTTTATATTTATTTTAGTTTAAATTATTGGGGGAAATATTTGTATAATAGAAAATGATTGTCCAAATATGGAAATATCTTAATACCAAATTTGGAAATTGAAATTTTAATATTTTTTGATAGATATATCCAACTCAAGGCTTCTTCTTTTCTTTAAGAAAAAAAAATAACTCTCTATATTTTAAATTAAGTCGTGAAACTCTGACCTTTGATCGACCCTTGGAATCACGGGTTTGATTTCGACTTATACATTAGAACCGACGTTTTCGATTTGAATTTAAGAGTGTTGAACAAACGACGGAGCCAGTATACTATCAGGAGGCCATAGCCCCCACCAGTTTTAAACATAGTTTATGTTGTTATAAAGATATTAACATAGTATTGTAATGTCACCAAATTTTTAATGATTTAAAAATGTATGAAAATTGAATTAAATAATCTTAATGAAGTACAAATGATGCGGAATATTTATTAGATTAGAATTGCAAAATAGTTATTTAATCAGAAGAAGAAGAATTATTGATGGGAGTATGTGGAGTTATCGAAGAAAAATAGGAATTTTTATGATAACATTCGTATTTGAGTTCGAAACTAAGTCCATCTCAAACGAAACCGAGCAACTATCAGTACACCTATAAGCATAGCTTCAGATGCACTCATGCAAGTCAACTTTCGACAATCCAACGTCGTTTAGGCCCTCAAAACGACTTTTTGCTTTTTCAGGAATATTTAAATAATTAATCTAAAATCGTAGAAAAATCGGAGTTGGAAATCCGTAAATTGAGTTGTTTCCAAAATCTAGTATTATTTTTGTTCTTTTTATTTTCGGTAATTTTTTGTATTTCCTAGCATAATTAGGATTTTTGTTTTATTAGTATAAATAGTTGTTTTTGTCTCAGTGCTCTAGTTTGGAAATAATTTAGCCTCTAATTTTTATTTTTATTTGAATCTTCTCTCTTTTTCGGTGGATTTCGAACGGTTCTCGGTTCTATAGGATTAATTCATAGAAATTACTTCTCCATCGCGCATCCGTTCTACATCAACGATAGTGCAACTAAAAGAAAACTATCATTTTTTTTCATTTTTTTTACCTTACTAATTAATTAATTTCTAGAAAGGGAATAAAGATTTGGTTGCTAAACACAAAAAACATATACAAAAGAGATATATAAATTAATTTTGTTTTAGATTCATCAAATGTATACCTACTCTTTAAATATCTAATGTTTTAGTGCTTAATATTTTCAACAATATATTGTAGAGTTAAAATGATACATATATACGTGTAAAAAAAAATCAAACTACTAGAGCTCGATTTGTATTTACCTCGATTTCCAAACAAACTCGAACACCATAAAGTTTGGTCAGACTAGATTTGTTACACTCGTAGATATATTTCATTTAATTGAGGGCAAAATATTCGAAATGCCAAACTTTTACTCGTATCGAAAGTCCCAAAACAAAAAATTCGAAACAACACAATTTAGTAATTCGATTTAAATTTATCCAATTAAACATTTACCTAACAACGTCATCTCTAAGCTCCGATTAGAATTCTAATAGTCGTATAAAGTCTAATTCAACACTATTCGTATTGTGGTACAAAAGGCTAATCACCGACGTATTGACAATATTAATATCTCGAATTTAAGCAAAATACTGTATATAACCTTTTTCTGAAGCAACTCCAAAAAAGCAGCTGATCAGCGGAATTTCAGAAACCCTCCAAATATTAATAGCTCGAATATCGTATTAGCTTTCCCTATATTTTACAGAAAAACGATATTCACGTAATTATTTCAAATCAAAATAATGAATTACATAATCATATAAGCCGATACACAATGTCTGGAAAAAACATACCTTCCGGAAAGAGACGAAGAAATTCGACATTTGCTCAAGGGTTCGTTTGGCACTGAAGCAAACACCCTTTTTTCCCTCAAGCATCTCTTTTCATTTTATATATGCATGCTTCGTATCGTGCTTCGAACAAGAAAGTAATAATGACAAATCAAAAATAATTAAAAAATCGGATTTTGAAAAACTTAATCAATCGAAAATAAATAATATCATTAACTTTCAAGAATGGCATCGAAGAAAATAAAACTTACCGAATAATCGCCAATTTATGTGGTAAGCTGCAAATCACGAGCCTCGTTTACTTGTATCTTCGGCTCGAGTCCCGGAAACTGCCCTATATCATATCCATTAAGTTGTTGAAATTCATTGTGCAAACCTACAGCAAAATCATCTGGGCATGTTCCGTCGCTTTGCAAATAATCAGCAATCTGCAACAAAATAGATAATTAAGTTATCGATTCGTAGAAATCGGATAAATATAATTACATGTATATAAAATAAGCAAATCAACAATTTCATTTATATTTATCTCTTCAATTTAAATAAAACTAGCCATCAATTGCATTCCATGTGTCGCATAATTAATCATGTATCAACTTGTTTCTACATTTCATTTAGAAAAAAAAAAAAAAAAATCTTCCGGCTAATCATGAGAGAGAAAGAAGAGAGAGAGAGGAAAATGAGAAGAAATACGTGATTAGCAAGACCCATGCCACTTAAGGCAGCAGATTCTAAGCTAGATCCCAGTAGCCAATCACCGCAAATGCCAGCTCGTCCATGAGGATCGAAGATGCACGGAATCCCGGGAGAATTTGTCGGAAGAGCTGCACCCCTGTAAGTTTAAAATAGAACAACTCATTCAAAATTACAGATCGTTTTCATCTATTTTTCAAGATATTATTATTATTTGTAGCCACATTACCATAATTGTAGTCGAGTGTAGAAAGGCCGTTTAAGTGAGTTTTTGTCGAGTCCTAAAGCAATCTCAACACCTTGAAACATGGCTTCCTTCACCTTTTCTGCTGTCGTAGTGGGAATACTTTCCTGACAAACACCAAACACAAATTAAGAGAGAGAGAGAGTCATAGAGAGTCAGAGAGAGAGAGTCAGAGAGAGAGTCATAAGAGAGAGAGAGAGAGAGAGAGTCATTAAACAGACTTGAGGGACTTTATTCTGCTTCCCAAAAGCCGCCGAGCTGAAATAGGTCCAGCAGTGGGGCCCACCGCTTTGCAAACCGAAAAGTTTTGCAGTATTATTAGCCATCCACGACAGAGAATCGATTCCTTTAACAAATGCACCTTCAAAAGGAATCGGAAGAGGATCCTCATAAGCTGCCATAAGTGCCCATATTGAATTCAAATCGAGCCTCTGTTATACAACAAAACACATTTTAAACGTAAAAACAAAAAACTATAGACATTTGAATAATCGGCAAAAAAAAAAAACGGGTAGCCACTCAAAGTACCTTCATTTGTCTTGCGATTAAGGGTAACCCTGACGAAGAAAGCAATCGGTTCGCACATTTTCCTGGTGTGACATACAGCAAGATAGTTCTTTATATTTATAGATACTCCTTTTTTGTTTCTACAAATGCCAAAAAGAATTTACGAAGCCGAAAGTACGGAAATACTCACCATTGTGTGCAATGACAATCGCGTCGAACTGCCCACAAGGCTTTCCGTTTTCGCTCAAGTACCATGTCCCGTTATACGGCTCGAGTTTACTAATCCAACATGGCCGAACCACATTCACCATAGAAGTCTGTAAAATGTAGTCATTTGATAAAAACCGAATATCAAGAAACAAGAAAAAACAATAATTTACATCAAGAAACAAATATAAATAGGCTGATACTAAAATCTTTCTAAAAGATTTCTCAAAAAAAAAAAAAAAAAACTTTCTAAAAGACATAACTATCCTTTCAAGCCACGACTAAAGAAAACAAGTTGTATACTATAAGGCTTCGTTTGGTTGGGGAGATTAGCCATGATTAACTAAATAATTGGACTTTGTTTGATGTTTGGTATCCCAATAACTTGCCGGGTCGATCCGCAAATATTATGTTATCGTGGCTTATCTTGCTTTCTAGACATGTTTTTTATTGGATCATTTGGTTTTCATTAGATTATTTAATCTTATCCTGGCTAATCTTATCCCGGCAACCAAACGAGACCTAAAGATATAAAATTATGTAAAATAATGTTCGATAATAAGAATACACACCTCGGATAATATGGATTCCGAAAGAGGCCTCATTCCGTTAACACCTATATATCTTGACGGAGAAGAAGGAAGTGGATTAAAACAACCACCGTCAAGCTCTCCTATTGGTCCATTCCATTCACGAACAAGATCCTTTTTAGTCCAAATATCGACCATCTTAGCAAATTCAGGGTCGGTAACTGTGAAGAATTGTGCTGCGTGATCGAATATTAACGACTGCGGATCGATAGTTCGAGTTCCCATTCTTCCTCCTAATCCATGACTTCCCTGAATTAGAAACTCACATATGAATATAAACCTACAAACCAAATTCAATTTAATTTTGAAATGTTACCATTCCAAAGTCGGAAAAAAATAATTTCTTTCCCGTTTTCAAGAATGAAAGTCTCGTGTTTTATTCGTTAAACCATCGTTCAATCAAGGTCTAGTATCGACATTCTTCGAACAATTATCTCTTCTGCATTCTTCGTTTATTCAGCTGCACTACATTCTCAATAACCATACTCCGGCAAAAAAACAGAATCCAAGAAACTCGATTCGGACACATTCATTTCTCATATAGTTAAACCTCAATAAATTAATACGGTCGGGATTAGGGAAATTCTATTAATTTAGCGAATTATTAAATTATCCAGTTAATAATTTAACACGTTTTCACCTAGTCGGAACTGAGAGAAATTACTATTTAATCGAGGTTATACTGTAGTATTTATCAAACCACCAAATTCCCAACAACAGCAAAATCAAACAAAAAAACAATCAGCTAATGAACAAATTGATTCCCATAAAAAAAAAAAATAAGACAAAATTACGAGGTGGGCCCGGAAAATCGATAAACCGGAGGGAACAAACCGTGTCGAAAACAGTGGATTTGATGCCCCTCTTCTCCAAGTAAAGAGCGCAGACAAGACCAGACATCCCACCACCGATGATTCCGACAACTGGGTCACGCGATATCGGGGACGTGAACTCCACTTGCTCCTGGCTGAAGCTTTTCTTGATTACCGACCGCCTCGAGAAACCGTGCGAAGGTTTCCTTCTTGGGTTCCTCGAGGGTTTCCTCTCGGACATATTATTTTTATTATTATTTCTACCGCTTTCGTCGGCGCTGCTGCAGCGGATGTGGGTTTGGCGGGATTTGGGTTTGGCGGGAAAAATGGGGAGGAAGGGAAAAATGTTGGCGGAAGGAGTGAGGGTGATGGAGCGAGTTATGGAGGCCATCGCCATTTTTATCTGTGTGTGTGTGTGTGTGTGTGGAGGGAGGATAACTGTTTTGCTCTTTCTTCACCGTTTGTATATCTATATTCCCCTCTTTCTTTGCCTTCAAACAAGGGTTTCAAAATTATTTAACTTTGGGTAAATTACGAAAAAACCCTCTCGTGTTTCGGTGATTACAGTGTTGTCCTCCTTCAATTATGTATTGTCTTACAGGTTCGTTCATTCTTACGGTGTCAAATTTACCTACTGAAGAATGATGTTTTTCGTAAGACAATAGATAGTTGAGGGTGATTGTAATTACGTAAATATAAGGGGGGTTTTCGTAATTTGAGTTTACCTCGGAAGTGATCTAATTTACCTTAAAACTATGAAATGAAAATTTTGGGAACAATATTAGGGTAAGAGAAAAAGGTAAAAAATGGTGTATACCAAATTTTTATATTGTTTACCGAATCGAAATATATGATTTGGTTCGGTTCGGTAATTTACCAAAGTACCGAAAATTTTATTATTTTAAAAAGAAAACATTAATTAAAATTTGAATCTTTAATTATTTTTACAAATTTGAGTACAATGATAACGAATTGTAGTATAGTATTAATATGTATAAAATAATATATAACATAACAAATAAAATTATATACATAATAAAATTTCGATATTCGGCTCACTGCAGATTATATATATAAGTGTAAATTACAACCACCCCTGAGATATGGCCGAATTACAAAAATCCCCCTCTTGTTTAAGTAATTACAACCACCCCTCAACTATAAATCTTCTTACACGTCCATTCGTACGGTTTCAAATTTAGTGGAATTTTCGAGATTATATGGAATATTATCACATTTTTACCCGTTTTATCTAATGTTGTTAGAACCGGATCGAACCGGCCGGTCAGACCGGTTCGACCGTGACCCGGCGATAAAGCAGTTCGGTCTGACCACTAAAACCTGAAAAATCGAACCCGGGGTCAAATGATAAAAATCCGGTTCGACCGAGTAATAATCCAAGAATCGGCGAATCAATCAAGGAACCCGGTTTTCGGCCAGAACGTCTCAAAACACCACTGATTTGGTTATTTGTGGCCATACTTTAGCAAACTTTCACGGACTTAGTCGTGGGTGGTCGAATTTAGTCATGGGTGGTCAAAGGATTGGAAGATATTGTCATGGGTGATCGAATAGGGGTGGCTGAATATTGTACTTAAAGAATAAAGAATGAGAAAAATATAGAGTATAAGCAAAAAATATATAGTAAAAAGTGAGGTGGTGTACATAAAACTGCATATATAAAAAAAACACTATTTTTAAAACATTAAAAGTAATAAAATAATGACATATTAAAAAATATCAAAAACCCGGTTGAACCGGTTTGACCCTATAAGACCATGACCCAAATGGTCGACCGATTCTATAGCCGGTCCGGTTCTGACAACATTAGTCTTATCCCATTCGAACTCTACATTTTGAAGCAAGATGATCATAATATGTGTTTTTTGGCTTGTATATATCAGATGTGGTGCATCAAAAACTGTATTTTTACACAAAACGAGTACAAACTAGAGCACATTTCACGAAATCTAGATGATTATGTTGAATTTGACACCATAAGGGTGGAGGTGTAAGAAAAAATCATAGTTAAGGGGGTAGATGTAATTTTTCAAACAAGAGGGATTTTTTCGTAAATTGACCATACCTCGAGAGGTGGTTGTAATTTACCCTATATATAAATATGTATATGCGACGGAGAAGAAGAGTCTAAAGACTTCGTTCAGGTGTTGTGCTTATGTCCTTAATCTCATAATTGAAGATGGCCTTTCCGAGACTAAAGATATCATTGATGTTACTCGTGATAGCTTCGGAGTATGTTCGATGGTCAGATGCACGTTTTAAGATTTTTCAGAGATTGTGAAGCAATTAAACTTATCATGAAAACAAAATTGATTGATGATTGTCGATCAAGGTTGAACCACATATACGACATGTTAGCTGCAGTAATAAAACTTAAAGGTTGCATCAATTTGATAGATGCCGATTAGTTGGAGCAAGTGAGCTTGTGTCAATTGACCCAAGATCGAATCTCCTTACCAACAGTCGCTAGATCGAGTTTGTCACACATAATTAGTCTGTTTACATCTCTTGTATGATTTGTAAGTTATTATACGAAAACATAAACATATCTCGTATGATTTGTAAGTTATTATACAAAAGCGTAGAATTACAAAGTACACCTATACGATTGGATGCGAGTTCCTTCATTACCCAAAAAAAAAAAACTACAAACATCTTAATTATCTTCACAATTCAAATACCAAATCCAACTTCCCAAATAATAAACAAGAGTCACACAAGACAAACTAAAAGCCAAATGAAAAGATGTTAAGGGCAATATATAAAACAAAGCAAAAATGTGTTAAGGATATTGCCCTTTGTGTATATGTTAATAATAATAATAATACATGAAGAAAAGAAAACATTATAAGTTACACAAAAATATACAACTCAAGACAATCCAAACATCATTCATCCATCAACCGTTTCGCAAGTTAAACTTTGGACAACCAAAAACGAAAAATTAAATAAAGATTTTAATCAAGATTCGACGGCAATATCTGCTGCGTTCGCCTGCTCTTTGACGTAGGAATTTTCTGTCGTCTCTTTAATTTGCTGCGGGCGAATTTTGGGCTTAACGATAGATCCGTTTAGTTTTTGTGAATTGTTTTGATCCTTACTTTTGGGAGTGATGGGAGAGGATTTTTTCCGAACGAGTGGTGGGGAGGCTTTTGTGTTGGCTTCTTTGTAAACGCCCACGCTATGACGGGGTGCACGCACGGAGGATCCCTTCTCCTCGGGAGTTGTTCTCGTCAATGCATCGCCGCAGCTCTTTCTCCTTGTTAGGTTCGGTGATTTGGCACGGGTGACTGGATACTGCATATATGAAACAAATATAGTCAAAATTAAAGTTTTCGATTCTAAATAGGTTGCAAAAATATCGGAGAAAAAGTTGGCTTCCAAAAAAAAGAAATTCCTTTGCACTTTTGGACGAAAGAGTGCGTCTCAACTCTCAATCACCCCCTGAACTTTGAAAAGTAACAAAAAGACCCTCGCCACATCAAGATTGTCCAAAATCTTTGTTTGGGAAAGTAACCTATCCACGAAACTCAAACCAAGGGGTAAAATTGTCTAAAAAGTTCCGATAGTGATGGTCAAAGTGCCACATCAGCACTAACAGATGGCAAACGGTGGGGCCTTTTTGTAACATTTTGTAGTTCAAAGGGGGTGAACGCGACACACTCTTTAGTCCAGGGGTGCAAAGTAAATTTTCCCAAAAAAATTAAAAATCGTACCTTTTTAAGCTCGACTTTAGGTGGAGGCCCTTCACGGTAGAAATTAGGGACCGGATTAGCTTTGTAGGCCATGTTCTTCCTCAACTGCTTTATCGCAGCTTGTTCCTCTTCCTACAAAATTCAGACAAGATTATTTTTCGACGTTCAAAAAGTCGAGGCTTCATAGGAAAATGCATTACGTGAGAAAAGAAAATACGTACCTTGGTTCTAGCTTCGTATTCAAGTTTCTCTTTCTCCAAGGCTTTGTGTTTCTCTTCCAACTTAGTGTAAAACTGTGAATGTTCGGTTCAAAGACGAAAATTATCAAGAAAAGAAAACGAAAAAAAAAACTAAAAATATTAACTCTTAAATTCGGTGCGAAAGAGTTACCTCCTTACGTCTCTCTAAACGGTCGGTGCAAGTGAATCTCGGTGCAACCGGAACCGTGATTCTACTTCGTACAGAAGTTGCAGTACTAAAGAGGGCTAAGGGAAAACTCGAATAGCAAGAGATTAAGAAAATAAAAGATAATCGGAAAAAAAAACGGACAAAGGATACGAGGAAGCCATGGACCAATTGTCTTCTTCGTCGTAATAACTTTACAGCTCGGCATC